TACTAGCGTCAACTGCTGCTGATCGCGTCGTGTAGGACTGAGTGCAGTCACCGTGTTTGTTAGTGCGCTGCTACGAGCTACCAGACGCATGCATAATTGAGTTCTGATGCCGCACTCTAAGCGTTCTGACGCCTTAAATTGCCAACAAACCGGCGCCCGTAACTCCTTGCCTCATTTGTTCCTGCATAGGGGCTCAGGCGCCAAATTTGCGGGGTTACCTCAGATGTGCAATTAGCCCTCCAATTATTCTATCCCTTCCATAATCTTACAAGCAGCACTGGGCAGACTGACAGGGCGATAGTTACTGCGGCTACTCTCGTCATTTTTTTGAACAATTTTATCACTTTTGGTTCTTTTAAATCGGCCGGCAAAGTTGTTTCGCTAAAGGTCTTTTGAGTAATCTGAGGTAAAAGCCGACTGGTTTGGGTAATCTGGGGCGGTAGTCGACTGATCATAGATTACTCAACATCTTTTTGAGTAATCTGGGGTGGTAGCCGACTGGGGCCATACTTTCAAAACTCGGTAAGCTAACGTAAGTACTTAAGGCACCCACACAGTGAAAGCAGGTTTGCCCGTGCGGCAACCTGCTCCAACCTGCCCCATGAACGAACATAGGATAATAATGTAAGTGTTCACAGTGAAAACCTGTACGAATAGGCTTCTTTATTCTGTGGTTTCAGGCGCCAGCCTCAGCAGGTAACCAGCACGCTGGCAACCTGCTTTCACTGTGTGGGTACCCTTACGATCTATTTTCTTGTCTATGATTGGTGGATTTTGCTTGGAAGGCCGTCAATGATTGGCTAAATATCTTACGATCTCCTGACTTTTTTTGAAAGTATGGCCTTAGGGGCCATACTTTCAAAACGTATACTACACGACTTGATTTGATTTAGAGAAACCTGGCGCTTGGAAACCTCGTAGTGTATTTCAAAACTGACAACATAATTTTTCTTATTTGGCTGTGAAATCATGAATGGCTGGAATACTGTTCAAGTGAAAACGCTGCCAAAGAACTGATTAAAAACCATGCCCCAAATTAGAGGATATCTTTCGTTGATCTGCTATCAAACAAAAAACCCATCGTATGTCTTGCATTTCAAATTAGCGAACGAAAAAAGGGTTGTACAAGAAGGCTTATAAACTCAGCACCTTATCTCGCGCGGTTGACATTTTAAATAACTGCATTATGACCATTATATGCTTAATTGTGGTTTTAAACATTATTTTTATTAGCACAAGATGCTGCGAGGCTGGAGCTTTAAGTTAAGAGATTATGACCATTATATTTATTGGTCAGCACCAGGTCCAGTCAGGGTGGTCCTTAGGACGGCAGGCCATGGGGCACTGCTTCTCAATGACTAAGGTGCGCGGTGACGCCTTGTACGGCCCCCAGCCGCAGTACCGCCACTCGCGTCGATGCGTCGGGAACGGCAGACTGCCGGGGTAATTTTCGCAATAATACGAGTCGTGCTCCATCAGCTCACCCTGTCGTCGAAACCACGTCAAAATAATTGCTGGCACAAACTTGAAGTGATTATGACCACAAATCGTGAAATTGACGTCAAGGTAATTGCCAGAACAAACATAAAAATATAATGACCATGATCACGAATCTAAGGAGCCAACGGTACCTGCATGAAGGGCCAGAGGTGCTTCGCCAACATGATTTGATCAAAGTTCTTCTGCTGCTTTACTGGGGGAACAGCTAACATGGCGTCGCGGACGGCCGCCAGCCTGACGGGGAACTTGTTGTAGGCTCCCCACAGACCTGATGGTTGTAGCCAGTTCTTTTCTTATCTTCAGGGTCTTAAACCCTAGGAGCTATACAAGGAGCGTAAATACAAGGCAATATTCCGGAGCGTATATGCAGGGCGATGAACCGGAGACTAACAACGAGGCAATATAAGGAGCGTAAATATGCTGTGCGATATCAAAAGCATGTATACGAGGTGATGAGAAATAATTGACTAGATTCGTGACGTAGGTATCGTACAACAATCACAATTATGACTACATTAGTGACTGTGACGCTGTAACGTAAGATAGAGTTGTGCCCAAGGGCAATTGCCAGGACTAATAAGCACATGTGGTATATTTCTTGCAGCTCATAGTACAAAATAGTGACTCAATTGTAAACTTAACTAGTTGAACACAATACGACCCACTGGTAGGACGCAAGGTACATTTTCCGGTCAAATTCAACGATTTATTTTTTTTTCACTTGAATTGGCCGGCAAAAATTTACGACGGTAGTACTTTCTTCTCGTATTTTACAAAGTAACGAGAAAAGTATGGTTGTATTCTTGCACCGTAACGTGCAAAATTATTAATAATAATTCAATAATGGGTCTTTTTACTTTTTATGAACGCAAACTCGATCGTTTTTTAGGTCATCTGGTAACTCTGGTGAGTCGTATGGCCTGTGACGGTATGGCACTCAACATGTTAAGATATAACAGGTATATATAATTTATATATAATATAGTATAACAAGACGAGTTATAAGGCACCTGCGAGGACGAAGGTGTTGTGTCCTGGGTGGTCCCGCATGACGTGAAAGCTGCGGCCTGACTGTATCCACTGCTTCACGGCCTCCACCTCGCGGGTCAGGATCTTGCTGTACATGCGATACACATTCGGTTCACTGTACACTCAAACAAATGAGTGAAAAGTGAACAAGAGCGATGCAATTTTTCCTTTGTGTCGGTCATTATGTGTCAGTTTGTCCCAGCGCACGCGAGTTAATCATTCTTGCAGAAAGTGTGTTCCTTTCTAGAGAAAATTTATTCATTTAATAGGATTCATTCATTTTAATTTCAGTGCAGGTAAAATAACACTTGTAGTTGTTCGTGGTTTAAAACATCAATCTGAATGGAAATAAGACTTACGGCTTGAGTTTCTTATTATAGGGAAACTAGGTCTGTTGAGATCTAATGCAGAGTGTGGAGTGCAGTGGAAATCTACATTAATTGAGGATATGAAGCGGTTCGGTTACATTGTTTTGATAACTTTCGACGGAATTGGGAGTTTTTTGCTGAAAAATAAAAAAATCCACCGAATAAACATCGGATACGGCAAGGCCTTCAATCCCGATGAGTCGTGTTACCCTCATTACTCACTACAAGAAATAAGTGGGCGTTTGCGCAAATATCGAAACACTTCTTGTAATGTGTGAGTCATCGAAACCCACTTTGGCCCTGTAAAATAGGATCACTGTAACGTGCAGAAAGTTGACTCATTCCCTTGCATGCTTGCTCCTACGTACACATGTGGCCCAGGGAGCAAATATTGGGAATTCGTGTATTTCGACCGGAAGGTTTCATGGATAGAGCGTTTCATGCTCATAACCACGCACTTGCCCTCTTTGTTCAAGTCCAAGTGGGGCTAAAACTGAATGTCAAGAAATGCAATATCTTGAAGTTCAACAGCAGGAGCAACAACAAGCTGAGGGCTGGAGAGATCGAGGTGGGGAAGTGGAGAGCTTCACATATCTGGGTGCAAACGTCACTAAGGATGGTGGGAGCACAGTGGATGTGAGGAGGCGTGTGGCAATGGCAAGCGCGACTCAAAAGACGATAACAAACATCTGGCAAACCAGAAACATCAGCAGAAAGACCAAAACCTCTCTGTTCAAGAGGTTGGTCTTTCAGTTTTGTTATACGGATGTGAGACCTTGAAACTAACCAAGGGAGAAGAGAGAAAACTACATAGATATATTTCAGACCAAATGCTTACGGAAGATTTGCAAGATTCGATAGCAGCAACACATCTCAAACAAGTCGGTTCTTGATATGACAGAAGTGGAGAAAAGCAGTGATGTGGTAAGGAGACGCAGGTGGAACTGGGTGGGACATGTGTTGAGGAAGGACAAAGCAAGCGACTGTGCTGTGGCCCTCGGTTGGGCACCTGAAGGAAGGAGGAAGAGAGGACGCCCAAAAACAACTTGGAGACGAATGGTGGAAGAGGAGAGAAACAGAGCAGGCTGGAACTCGTGGAACATAGCACGGCAGGCAGCTGCAAACCGGACCCAGTGGAGGAGTGACGTCCAAGCCTTGTGCGCCTTATGGCGCGGAGAAAACTGAACTGAACTGGAGTATGCTAACGTAGCTATAATTTCATTTCTAATCCACGTTTTCATGCTTTCAGTCCTCACACCAAATGTCCTTTCTTACGTATCTCACGATTCATATATTCCCCGCGTTTCTCACTGTAATCATACTAATTTGCTCAATAAATTGATTTTTTTAAATTTTAACGTGCATTGGAGGAATAAAAAAACATTACTAAATAAGTCAAAATGCCTCTCAACAGTAATTTTAAAGTTGGCATATCTTTCAAAGAAACAGTTTATTATCATAAATTTCGATCACGTTTCCCTGTATAAATAACTGCCAAAATATTAACACTATATAACTTACAGAGAGGATTATTAGCCAAGACGTATTAGATTCCCACGTATCTCACTTGCCGTGTCAACACCCACGTATCTCACCTGTCATGTCCACACCCACGTATCTCACCTGTACCTGAATGGAAATAAGACTTACGGCTTGAGTTTCTTAATATAGGGAAACCAGGTCTGTTGAGATCTGATGCAGAGTGTGGAGTGCAGTGGAAATCTACATTAATTGAGGATATGAAACTAACTTTCAGAGAGGATTATTAGCCAAGACGTATTAGATTCCTACGTATCTCACCTGCCATGTCCACACCCACGTATCTCACCGGCCCTGCCCACGTATCTCACCAGCAATACTCACGTATCTCACCAGCAATACTCACGTATCTCAGCAGCAATGCCCACGTATCTCACCTGCCTTGTCTGCACCCGCGTATCTCATCTGCCATGTCCACACCCACTTATCTCACCTGCCATCTGCGTAGCCACTTACCTCACCGGACCTGCCCACGTATCTCACCAGCCCTGCCCACGTATCTCACCTGTCGAGGTCACGTGACATCATCCAGCGGACGGTGGGGTCACCGAGCGCAGCGAAGCGCCAGGTCCTCCCAAGGGGCATCCTAGACTCGAGGTCTCCTGCAAGCACAACAAGCAAAGACCTGCACGCGTGGCTGAGGTGAAATAGGAGCAAAAAGAAGAATACTGAGTGGCCAGAAAGAGGGAAGAGAAAATTAAATGAATGTAGCAGACGTGAAAAATTGCGCTAAGCGCATAATTAGGATGGTGGTAAGGGCTGACGGTTGGTTAATGTACCATTGAGCAAAGGAGGAAGCGTGGAATTGGGACCGGATTCTGTATAAGAGAAATGACTATGATGGGCGAGCATCGTAAAGATCGTCATTTACATCGTGAACAGACACGCAGTTGATTCATCAACACTCAAAACGAACTACAAGGATAGCAGAAAATATCAACGTTCATGGCTTATGTGCAGGTAACTCATTTAGTGTTAGCGTCAGACATGGCATACTTACCGAGCGTACGCAAGTAACTGGCATGTCAGAGGTCGACATAAGACTCGCCAAGCGTGGGCAGGTAACTGACGTGGCAGAGGTCGAAATGGGACTCACCGAGCGTGGGCAGGTAACTGACATGGCAGAGATTGACATGAGACTCGCCAAGCGTACGCAGGTAACTGGCATGTCAGAGGTCGACATGAGACTCGCCAAGCGTGGGCAGGTAACTGACGTGGCAGAGGTCGACATGAGACTCGCCAAGCGTGGGNGTGGCAGAGGTTGACATGGGACTCACCGAGAGTCGGCAGGTCCTTGACGTGGCAGAGGTCGACATGAGGCATGTCACAGAAGAGCTTGCACATGTAATGCGTTGAGATGACGTCATCAGTGGATACGTTGTGGTACACGCGCATCAGCCAGCCTACAAAACAGTTACGGTATAAATTTTGTTTTAATTATTAAATTTGTAACCAATATTAATTGCACGGCATATTATTAATATTGATACAATCCAACTATCTTAAGAAAGACGCAAATTTAGTTTCTGTAAGCATATTTGCTCTCTTCCTAATAAAGATCGACTATTATAGGAAGAATAACCGCGGCTTTGGTTATTTTCATTCGCGGGAAAACGCTACTATTTTCAAGAAACCAATTGTATAGAACATAATAAGTGGTGCATGACTTGATCGATAAAATAATAAATATTTGCTGAAGCTCGAACGCTGAAGTCTACACTGTCCTCAGGACCTTAATCCCGAGATTTCAAATATATGAAACATATTGAGCCATGTTGACTATTGTGTTTAGTCGCCACTAAATTTTTTTCCATAACTTGTTCATAAAAGTTTTATCCATGACTCACTAGGATAAACGCGAGCGATCCTACGGGCGCGAGGATACATCTGCTTCAGGAACTTTTTGGTGCTCTCAGAATCTGGAGCAGAGATATAACAATTAACTAATGGGTTAGTACAATAGTTATTATTATTATTATTTGTTAACGCTTATTATTATCTTCAGAGTAATGCACACATCAGGAAAATATGAAATTTGCAGAAGATATATCAAGCAATAACGTCATTTGCTCGAACAAGCATTTTCGTTCAAAATTCTATCAAAATGAGAAAATTTGGGGCAGTTTTGCCATATTTTTGCCTCTGCTGGACTCTGTCACTCAGAAAAAACTGACGTAAGAATATTTGTGAGTATAATATTTATGGGTATCACCATTAGATGCTATTCCCGTGGGCACGTAGTACGAGTAGGACACGACCTTCTGCCCTACGCCGCGCTGGCTGGAGAAGTCTGAGCAGGTGGACGTGAAGGTCTCGGGGTAGCGGACGAGGAACCATGGCGGCTGGGAACGGGGATCTCGCAGCGCCAATTCCCGAGTTTTGTTAAGAGCTGCCAGGTCATAACCATACCTGGAAGCGGAGACATGAGTATCTTGTTCGATTCTGAACCATATTTTGTACATAAAATTTAAGTTCGTTAGTTAGTTAATTGGCCACACGTTTACTACCGCTTCAGCTATTTAGCTACAAAACACCTAAATTTCACGATGAGGAGTTTATAAAATAAAAAATCGTTCATCACCCACAAGGGCGGAAGTTTTCAAGTGTCCAGCCGGCTGAAGGAGCGGGATTAAGAGGAGCAGCGTTTGCATGGCAAAGATTGGGTTGCAGGTTTTTTTTTCACGACAAATTCCGCTGTTTATTTATTTTTCTAATTGCATTAACCGGAAAAATTTATGATGACGCACTTCCTTATTAAATATAAAAAAAGTACGAAAAGAGGAAAATTCCTTTTTTTTGCACGGGAACCTACACATTTACTAGAAAATATTGAAAAATAGGCCTTTTTTTGTACGCGGACATTTTTAGGCCATCTGGCAACCGTGGTGGGTTGTGCTGCACTTAACGTGTTAAGTTGGTGAGTCAATATTTTGTGTACACTTACGTCAAATAAGCTATGTTCACGGAAGAATAATACCACACTAAATAAGACACTTAAAACTAATCATAATAAAATCAAATTCACAATGAGTTAGTATAATTTCAATCCCACTTTGATCAAACTTGCTAAGCAATCAATTCGCATAACTTGATTTTTTTGTTGATATTACGTGTCAAGTTATAATGTATTCCGTTATGATGTTTCAAGCATTAACGCATATACCTAGTGCAGGAGCATCCAGGGTGCGAGTAGCCGCGCTTTGTGATGTTCAGGTCGAGACGCATGGAACGAAGAACTCTGTTGCCAACAAACGCGGAGCCCGGCTAACCAAACATGCAACAAAAGCAACGCTTGAGGGGAAACCCAATGAACAATTATATTATCAGACTTTCTGCTCTATACATATATAGGCTAATTTATCCAAACAGACAAACGCGGAGCCCGGCTAACCAAACATGCAAAAGAAATCCTCAAAGTGATTAATTATCCGTGTTTATTTTTCCGGCATTATTAAGGTAAAAGATAATTCGTAAATAGAAGGGAGATTTAGTTGTTACATTCCATTTGTTCTAACATACAATGCAAAGTGAAGAGTCAAGGCCTAATTCGTTTCAAGGAATTTGCACTCTTAGTAAGAGTAATCAGGCAAATGTCGAGTCAAGTTTAAAATAATAATTATAAAGAAAAATGACAATCAAGAACACAATAGGAATGCCTGAACTCACTTGGTTTTCACTGGAGAAGAAGATCACGTAACAAACGAAGTAGAACAACACAGAGGTGATGCTCACTAGTAAGAGGTGTCGCGTGGTTATGCGAGCCAGCATCATGGTTCAGGTATCAATATAGGAAACAATAACATGGAATTCCAATTCTAGCCAAGATCTGATGCAAGAATGAGAGAAAAGGGGATTAACTGATCATATTTCTCATCTTTTAAATCTGCTTCACATGTTACAGAATATATTTTTTAAAGACAATTGCCCAATTGACGACTTCAACTTTTAGGTGAATAGCAAGTAAGACTAAACAGATCATTTAATTCAAGCATCGTTTCCTTCAGTATGATACTACACACGTGTACAGTTGGAACTGGAACTTCTGCATCACTTAGCAGAACATCAAGCCATCTCTAATGCACACCTGTGCATTAGAGAAGTTCGGGTCTCTAATGCACGCCTGAGCACACCTGAAGTTCGAGCCATTTCTAATGGCTCGACCTTATCACATTGTCAGCAGCTGTGGCCAACTTATCAGCACACCTGCTGCACAAATCAGCACACCTGTGATACTAATTAACATACCTGAGTGCACGTCGCAGCGACAGATGCTTCACACCTACTTGCTCCGCTACGGCATTCATGTAGCAACTCAGATGCCTAGGTAATTTTCTATGAATAAATCAAATAGACATGACTTGAGTTATTAAAAAGTTCATATCGTTCATTTACAATCTAAAGGACAGTCATTTTGGCGCCTGAGAGTCGACGCGCAACGCAGCGCTGCGTCGTTTGCTGTATAAACTCATAGGAAGAGGCCGTACAGAGGCTTCGGGTGACGTAAGTGTAGAGGATTTCCATACGGTTTTTCAAAATAAAATATCTGACGTGCAAGCGTCGTGGACCGACGCTTCCCAGGCAGCATTTGCGCCATGCTCGTTGGACTGCGTGCTCCAAGAATTCTCTCGCGTCACAGTTGACGACGTCATCGCTGCAGTGCGTGCGCTGCCTAACCAGCAGCGTGCCATCAATTCGCTGTCGATGTCGTTACTCAATGGGCACTAAAGGGAATGTTGTAACCCTAGCATCTTTTCTTGTCGGTCTTTTCAACCGCTGTCTCACTGACGGTGTTGTTCCGATGAACTTCAAATCAACTTAAATTACGCATCTATTAAAAACCAGACGTTTGCGCTTTGTATCCCAAATCATATCGACCCATCTCCAACCTGTCGATTTTGTCGAAACTCCTGGAACGCGTTGTAGCACGACTGCTGAACAACCATCTTCAGCAGTTCGGTCTCATGCCTATACCGTAAACTCAACTCGACGGAAACCGCGGTGCGGAAAGTGCATTCAGACATTCTGCGAGCAGTAGACAGCGGTGACATTGCGGCACTAGCTTTCCTCGACCTGTCTTCTCGACCGCGTTTGACACGGTCGAACGCGCAACTTTATTGCGTCGACTTGACGTATCAATCGACCTCGCTGTACAGTGCTGCTGTGGTTCGAGTCCTATATCAGCAATAGATTCTAATGCGTTCGACGCGGGGACTTTTCTTCTATGCCATCGTTGGTCACTTGCGGCGTACCACAGGGATCAGTTCACGGTCCGATCATCTTCCTGTTATATACTGTACTGTTGACGTATTGTTTCTAATCGATTTACATAGTTTAAATCCGCATATGTTCGCCGACGACACCCAAATTTATGGCTGTTGTGCACCGGCTGACTCCGCAGCGTTGCAGTATCGAATGTCTGTCTGCATGAACGCCGTTTCAGACTGGATGCGCTCCAACCGGCTTCAGCTCAATACATCACAAACTGACTTTATTTGGTTTGCGACTGCATCAGCCATATTAGCTTCCGTAACAGTATATACAGTATAACAGCTTCCGGCCAACCCTTTTCGCTTGGGCAACAAGTTCGTCATGCCTACGACCGCATTCCGCAACTTGGGCATTCAGCTGGACTCGGGACTTTCTATGAACAATCATATTGCCAAAGTCACCACCGCTTGCTTTGGTGATCTGCGACGAACACGTAGCATCAGCCGTCGTCTTTCGAGGCTGTCCTCGAGGCTCCTATGGTGGCGCTCGTTCTGACCAGATTGGACTATAGTTATGCCACGCTTGATGGAATTCCGACCACGGCACTAAATAAACTACAATCCGTAATAAACGCTGCATGGTGACTCGTGAGTATTAGGCGAAAATTCGATTATGTGACGCCGATTTTGGGCGATCTTCACCTGCTGCGCATTCAGCAGCGCACGCAGTTCAAGATCGCTATTCTGACGTTCCGATGCCTTCACGGTCTGGCGCATCCTTATCTCACGGAATGTCCGCAGCGCGTGACAACTGCGCTCGTTATCAACAGTGGAATTCGTCGTTCCATCTTCACGTCTATTTATCGTCGGCGACACAGCCTTCACGGCGCCGCCGCCAGAACCTGGGACATTCTGCCGGCTTTCGTAACAGAACTATTTCGTAGAGCCTATGAATCGAGTGATTATTCGTTTTATCCGTTTCCTTCCTTTATTGTGTCTATTTGCTTTTCGCCTGCTATTAACTCGGCGAGCAGCGAGCGGTCAGCGGACAACTGCTGAAGACACGTTACAACAGGGTTACGGAGCAAATTTGTAAGTAACTAAAGTGCACGGTTCCATTATTGTGAGCTCTATTCGAAGTGAAATGGAACTATTCTTCTGAATTGGATTAAAATTGATCCTTGCAATCAAAATTGAGTCTTGTAGATGCACTTGACTGTTGCTTGTGAATATTGTAGGATAAATTTATGTGTGAGGACTGATTATGGCTTGAAAATGTCTGGTAGTGGTGTTTCATGATGGGATGTTTTGTTCTTATTGTATGTCGGAGAATGTTGTTGACTGGTGAATTGGACTTTCTGAATGGTGTCTTGCTGAATGGACTTGCTGAATTTTTTTGGACTTGCTGAATGGAGAATGTTTTGTAGTGATGAATGTCAGATAACTGGTACTTGTGAATTTGAACCCAATGGGAGAATGTTTGATACTGGTTAATGTAAGAGGATGTTTTGCGCGTCTGTATTTCGAGAATTTTAGGTACACAGGATTGTGAAAAATTGCAGGTAAAACTTTACATTAAGTGCATCCAAAAAAGGGTGTTTTTTTAATTATATGTTTGTTGGGGTGTAGATAAAGAATCTGAAATCCGTTTTTGGCGGTCGGCATCGGAAAACCGATTTTTTTCTCCGAGGCTCTAATTCGTCAAATAAAAAATCGGGCAAAAATCGGCAAAATCGGCGAAAAATCCTAACCTAACCTAACCGTGGTTGCAATATCGTGGTTGCAGGAGTATATGGGTCACCGAGGCTAAGTAAAAAACGCTATAAATCCAGGGATATTGGGGCCAAGATTTAACTTAACATGCATTTTATCTTAGAAAATATATAAAAACTTGGAAAAAATCGGTTTTCCGACGCCGACCGCCAAAAACGGGTTTCAGATTCTTAATTAAGCTCTGTAGATACAATAGGCTGTTGTTTGCTAATATTTTGGGAGAATTTTTATGACTGATTCAACTGATTATTGCGAGAGAATGCTTACCAGTATAAGTGAATATTTGGTACTCGCGTATATGAGAGAAGGTTCAATACTGGTTAAGGTGAGATAATGTTTTGCTCAGCCGTACGTGGTAAATGTTTGATAGCGCTGCTACTTCAATAGGTGGGAGTGTTTGGTACGGGTAAATGGGTAGAATGTTTCATACATGGATGATGTGGAATAATATTGATCGGTGTTGAATATTGGAGTATGTTGATCGTTGAGTGATATTGCATATTGAAGAATGTTTCGTTTTTGGCAATGAGTGAGAATGCTGAATGCTGGTGAATATTGGAGATTGTTTTGCTCTGGCAATATGAGAGGATCTTACATTTTGGCAAATATAAGAGAATGTTGTAGGTAATGTGGAAAGTTGGGGTTGAAAGTTGTATTAACTTATATTATTCCCGTTTCAAACTCTTGAGTACTTGCCACTTGCTTCATTGTGACGCGATGAAGCGCGCAGCGGTTCAAATGCCCTCTCCCTTCCCCATAAAGTGGGGAATTAAGGGAGGGGGCATTTTTTAACGCATTTTTCAGATTTAGCCGTGTCTGTCCCGAACGTATCAGGTACAAAATACGCGCGCGCCGCAGTCGCCCCACGGTTGTCAAAGAATAGACCGGATCCTTATGAGGTCCTTATTTCTCTCGTACAACCAGAACCAAAAGCGGACATAGAGCCGCTAATTTACACCGCTAGGCGAGCAAGCGGCTGACAGTAGCGTCCTTGAGCCAGTAGCCGTCTTTGAGCCAGCGGCTGACGGTAATCACAATTTTGATAGGGAAACTACAATAGCGGAGCTCACTATCACTGTTCAGTATTTATCTGTTATTGGCTGGAGAATATATAACCTCCACAAGATCTGCAAAATAGTTTATTCAGGTGAGCGCAGCCCTTGACAACATTTTTACGACAAACAAGAGTCAAAGCGAGTTAATAATTTGGCGATAGTTTTGGTTCGGAGGAATTTTCTTCATTTTTTGATACCAACTCTTAAACAGACCTTAGAGCCAAAGCTCAGCAAAAAATACCTACGGTCTACGATACCGTAAGGTCTACGATACCGTAAAAAAACACATTAGAAACATCGCAAGCCACTTCAGTACTGAAAGGTTTATGCCATAGCGCCATATGCCCACAGTTGCTTCTCAAGTCAGTTTAATCGTCATGGAGGCTACACCCAAGCATTGGATTATCTCCACACTTATCCCGTCTCGCCATCTTTATTCTTACTACAGCCGTTGCGGTTGGGTCAAGTCCGCGTAGGTTGGGAAGTGTATTAATGTTTTTCATGGAATGGGTGAACAAAATAGCCGAATAGTATTTGATATCGCGAGAGTGGTGTTCCCGTCGAATTTATTGAGTTTTCAGATCTAACGAAATAACACAACATTTCAACAAAATTATTACACTCGGAACAGAAGGGCGAAAACGTCAATTTTTAATTTCAAACACGTTTCTTCAGCTACTTTGTTTTCTTCTCTTCTCAACTCAGCTTCTCTTTGATTCCTCAAAAAATTGTCGTAGAAATTTTCAAAGATTTTCTGAGATTTTGGATTGCTATACGTCTTCAAAGATCTTATTTTTTTACAATTTTTATATTTGATTATCTGTTAACGCATTGTCAAACTTTCCTACAACTTATATCAGTTCGCACCGCACATTTTTCATCTTATGTTGTTACACAAAAATCATACACACCATCACTCTTGTCAAATTAAATATACTCACAATTTTTGGATTGTAACTACACTAATG